GATAAGTACTGGAATCTTAATTTCTATTTTTATCTATAATATTTTAAGCATGCTCATTAATTAATATGTTGGGCTCTTTACTTGCTGTAATTCTGTAAATGTCCCTTCGAATAAAGGTGTTCTGATTCTGATCAATTGCACAGACTTCCAGTATTGCCCTGCTTTGACAACATGGGGAAAGTAATTTGGCTAAAATACTTTAACCTGATATTATTACATCTTGTATGCATTTTACATTTCCCAAGTTATTGAAGTGACTGTTATTTTGTACATATTGATTGTTGTGCTTTTATTTATGCCTTAATGTGTGCATATGTATACATGTGTCTGTTGATAGTGTATATATAGGATATGCACATTTTTATATATCTTTGTATTTCGATCTCTCTGTCTGTACACACAAACTGAAAGATTGACAATAAAGTTGACCTTGACTTAATTAATCACTGCCTACAGTTCTGTCTTGCATGCGATATTTTCACAGCATGTCACTGACTTTGCCTCCCGTCTTTCTTTAACAGGATCTGTTCTTCAAATACTCCTGGAATAACTTTTTGCACTTCCAAGTGGAGCTGTGTGTGGCGGCCATTCTGAACCATCCCTCTTCTTCAGAGGAGCGACCCAGCCCGGCTCTCCAGAACCACGACGTGAAGCCCGAAGCACCAAACTCTGAGGGGCAGGAGGAGACCTCGGAGACGGGCACGACCATCGACCCTCAGACCTCCCTCCACAACGCCCTCGTAGCACATGTACGTCGCTAAAGCAGCTGCAGACGAGCCATACTGCACATAATAAGATTTAATGCATTTTATTTAAGGCGCCTTTCATGACACCCAAGGACACCGGAACATATGGCTGCTCGATTATGGCAAAAATCATAATCTCGATTATTTGGGTCAATAATTGATATCACGATTATCAAAAACGATTATCCATTTACTTGGAAAACATCAATTTATTGGAGAAATTGTTTTTGAACTGAAAAACCAATTAAAAAAAAAAAAAAAAGTATTTAAAAAAAAAAAAAGTAGCCTAATAATAAAAAAATAATCGTTTTATTTCGATTACGTTGTTTTCGTAATCGTTGCAAGCCACAATCGTAATTGCGATTAAAATACGATTAATTGAACAGCCCTACCGTAACATTTGTTGAATATTCTAAGACGTAAAAGCAAGACAAGAGAAGACAATTTAAAGTGGACACAAATGTTAGAGACGGTTATTCAGGGGAAACGGATGATAGGGAGCACGACAGTGAGTAGGCTGATCTGAACAGGTGGGTTTCGAGGAAGGACTTGAATGTGGTGATTGTGTCAGACTGTCGGATGTGAAGGGGGCGAGAGTCCATAGTTTGGGAACTATCTCAACATCTGTGCTGTTTTGTTTGCATGGATTTGGTGCTCTTCCTGAAGTATTTCCACACTCACACTCTCCATATCTGTCTTTTCTTTTCAGCTCTTCCAAAAGTGTCAATTGGTACAGAGAATCCTTAACGCCTGGGAGGAGAATGACAAAATACAGTAAGGACCTTTTTTGCTGCATATTTTTCATGCACATCCTGCTGATAGGTAACTAAACGATAAATGCCTGTGTAGTCAACAAATACTTGTTCTCCATCATTTGGGATGCATTTAACGTTTTGCAATAGGGATGCTCCAATCGACGGGCCGCCGATTCGATATCGGCCGATATTCACTCTCTGCCGATCGATCGGTGCTCTCTAAAAATGCCGATCGCGAGAGCCGATCGCATGAGGTAAAATGATGACTTGAATACATGACACTCTTCTCTGCGCGGCACAAGAAGCTCGCCAAAATGGCTTCAGCGGTCTGGCATTATTTTAAGGTGTCCGAAAATGACAATAAAATAGCGGTATGCAACGTGTGGGAAGCAGAAATCCTGAAGCTCCACCCGCTGTGACGGACCGGGGAGCGGAGCAACACACACACACTAATGGCACATTTCCACTGCAGGGCCTCGCACGGCTTAGTACGGTATAGTTAGGCCTTGGTAGGCTAGGCTCACTTTATGCTGCGCTTCCATTGCAGTTTATGAACTTGGGCAGTAACTATAGTAACGCAGTGTAGGCGGAGCCATGACGTCATCTTCAATGAGAAACACAACATCAGCCGTTAGCTGTTTGCACTCAGAGCTCAGAGCTCCTCATATCTGTTCACAAACTAGACTAAAGTTAAACAAGTCCAAACCACAGACTGTCTGTGTCATGGAGAATAAAGTCGCTGGTTTGTTTATGTCTGTAGGCCGTTGTTTTGAGAGTGGACGGTCGGAGCATATACAACGTTAGTTTAGCCGATCTCCATTTAGAAAACATGCATTTTAAAAGGTTGTTCGCCTGCCGTCTGTCTGCAGACTTGTCAAAGCATTAATTCATGGTTTTTACTAACCGGTATCAGTATGTTGTTACTTCGGCATCATTTTGAAACGTGTATTACAATTAAATCACGGTCAAATATGTTCATTGTGTTGGAGTTACCAGCAATTCTCTCACTAGTTTAGCATACTCAGCCCGGTTGTTGGCCCGGAAAGAACCTCAATTTTGGAGAGCCAGAAAACTGTGAAAAGGTACCCGCTAGCCGGAACTACGCCTAGCGGAAACGCAACCAAAAAGCCGGGCACGGCACGCTTAAACCGCGCTGTAGTGGAAATGCGCCATAAGAGTTAGACTTAACACACTTAGCTATTTTATCTACCTTTGGAACTAGCTAAACTAGTTCTAAAATATTTGGGAAGCGCCAGTGAACGAGCCCCATTAACTGAGTTTTAAACATCACTTTAAATGGAAGATCCCCATTGGCCCCGCCCACTCGATCAGATCGGCCCCAAAATTGGCGATCGGAGTATCCCTATTTTGCATCATCTCAAAGAGTTTCCTGGTCCTTCAAGATCTTAACGGGTTGATTTGTATTTTATTAACTCTTATAGGTTAACAGGGAAGTTGAAAAGTGCTGCTCTTTGCTTACATACATATACTTACCTCATATATTTAATGGATTACATGTAAATCTTGAAAGTGCATGTTGTTATTGACATTGAGTCGGTCATTACGGTAAAGTTAAACGTGATTGTAAGTGTGTCTATTTGTAAATCTCAGGGGTGAGGGCGGCACAAGGAGAGGCAACATGGGTCACCTGACCAGAATTGCCAACATGGTGGTCCAAAACCTGGAGAAAGGACCAGTACAGGCCCAGATCAGTGACCTCATCAAAGGTAAACACGCGTCACAGTCGTCCTAATCTCACTTATTACCATTTTAAAGGTCACCTATTATGCAAAATCGACATGTGTCCCCTCTTTGTTAAAAGACCCTCTCTCTTGTTGTCCTGATCCATTTCTATAAAAACCTGTCTGAAAATGAGCTGATCAGATTTTGGCCACTTTATGATGTCATAACGATGTGTTGGCTTGTGTAACCATTAGCCAATCAGCAACCAAGGTAACCCTCCCCCCCCCCCTTATCACCTGAATCTCCTCCTAGAGCACCATTGAGTTCTTTGTAACCAAATCTCTCTCAGAGGGGCGTGGGGAGGGACTCCTTATTTTCATCTAAAGTAACAGACAGAGAATCAGCACTTTGGAAACAGGGCTGAAACAGAGGGGATTATGGGTAATGCTGCAATGATCTGTTTGGTGTTTCAGCCAATCAGAGACAGGCTCTG